GTTTTAACACTATCAAGTAAAGACATTTAGATTTTTTACCGTGGGTCCAGAGAGCCAACAGATTTCAGTTACCACAGCAGCATTTCTCTGTCATGTAGAAAAACTGATACATACTGTGGAAAGTGGACTTTTCAAAGTAGCTGTGCATGCATGTGGCCCACGATTGAAATTGACTTTGACATCCTTGCGCTAGATGAAACAACCTGTTCTTAAATGGTATTTCTGACGGTGTCTGATGGTGCCTGGATCATCCTCAACCTGCTGTGGAAGCTGCAAATGTGTGCAGCAGCTCGGCTCGTCGCTATGTGGGAAAGCATTTGGGTTAATAAGGCTACGTGACTTCACAGGAACACATTAGAAGGCGTAAATAATTAATGAAGTTACCGCCTGCTTAAAATGTACACAGGCCCTTTCTTAATGTGGATCCTGCTGCTGTGACACTGCAGCTGTTCAGTAAAATCAAGCTAAGAGGGCAAATCCACACAGAGCCTTAAAGAGAAGGAGGAGGTGGGCTCCGAGCAAATTCAAGCCCTGCTTATCTTGTCGTTTGTCAGTGGATCTAAATCTTGTTGCCTCATAAAAACACTAAAAGACGAGTCTTTTCAGTACCTCAGTGGCTTCATGTACTATCTGAATGCATCTGCACAGTCATGGTGATCAAGCACGTTAGGCCTGCAGGTGAAGTTTGCATGTAGGTAAGAAGTGAACCACCTTGATCACAATCAAAAAAACAGCTTTAAACCTGAATTTATAACTTAGGCCCTCAAACGCTGCATCACAGTGCAGGCCTCCAGTTTCAGATTGACATCATTACTATTGTTTTAAAGTCCCGATGTTCCAGATGGAGGTGCTGCTTTCTTCAACTCGAAATTTGGCTACAGATTTGGATTATGCCCTTCCTGTTCTCACTTCCTGCTTTTCAAAACAAACAAACTATAAATAGACACAAGCAAAAGGAAAAGATAAACAATCTTATTTAATCCATTGCCATCTAAACAAACAGCATAATCTCTTTCATCTAATAAGCACTAATACACACAAATACACACAGAGACACACAGATCCATTACGAGGTAAGGGATAAAATGTTCTGGATTAAACTAAACAAAAGAACGCTTTTTTTTCTCCACCAGTCTGTAATCCCAAACCTCCTCCTCCTCCTCTGACCTGACTCCACCACGTCAGACTCATTCAGCTCGCTGCGAACGGTAAAATCAGCAGAGTCGGCTCTGAAACAGAAGCCTGAGCTCAAGTGTCTGAACATTTAAACACATCAAGGTCAGCGGTATGTTTTAAAAAGGTCTGTCTATTTAGTCCACTGACTACGCAGCTCTGGACTCATTTGCAGTATTTTATATTTGAAGCTACAGCTTTATTCTTACCCTTTCAGACACTTTCATGTGTTTACAGGGAGGAGTCTGAAAGTCCCTTATGGAACAAGACATGGACAAGGACCGGGGTAGGTTGCAAAGTGGCTTGCAGGGGAAGCAGTGAGGATAAGAAGGCTAAAGAAACTTGAATATGACATTTTATATTGATATATTTATGTCATTTACCAGTCTTTGCACTTCAGTGACTATATTTCCATGTGAATATGCTGTTGGAACAATAGAAACATAAGCATAAAGGAACTTTAGAGCCCTTAAGTACATATTTACATTGCATGAGCGAGAGCTGTGATTTCTCAAATGTTGTGCCATGGAATTTGTGACGGCCAAATATTATTACAATATAAAACTAGACAGAAAACTGCTGTACTTTTTCTAATGCTGCTTTAATCATCTGGTTTACCCATCATCAGTTAAACCAGCCAAAGCAAGCCAGTTTACGATGAAACAGCTCAGGCTTGCAGTAAGTGAAGTAGTGTTGAGCAGGGGTGAAACTAAACTGCTGATGATTTATAAAGTAAGACAAAAATTAGGACTTTAAAGCAAAACTGGATGGAAAAAAGCAACAACTTTATCCAAAATTATAATTATAATTATAACCTCTTAAACTTTACGCTGCAGCAGTCCGTGTCTTACACAGTGAGCTGTGCAACACCATGTCAGCTGCTGGGCTATAAACTGCTTTAATAATGATGAACATGACCCTCATTGTGTAAGCCATAAAGTGCAACCACAAAGTGCACAAAGTGCAGATCTCACCACCATATAAATGCTAAGAAACCAACTTCAAAGCTGGGACTGAGGGTCAGGTGGAAAAGCAGCATTTTTATTTTATTTTGTTTTATTTATTTATACACACACATTAACATTTCTGCATTTTTAAAAAATGCATCTGATGCAGTTTTTAAAGAACTCACTGCTTCAGCTAATCAACTAACCCTGCTAACCTTGTCTGTAGTCTGCAAAGGTCAGACACACACACACACACACACACCTCTCTTTCTTCACAGAGAAGCGTGGTTCGTAAACACGAGTGCCATTTCCTGACGTCACTCTGCAGGATTTCAGTTCAACTGTCTCTGCAGAGTCGCCCGAGGCAGCGCTGACAGTTAAACGTACAAATACAGGAGGCGATTACAAGGGTTTATCACAGCTTAGCTTTATGCATCACAGTGAGAGTTGCCATGTGATACATGTCTGATTTTGTGTTTGCAAATGCATGTTTTTAATTGCAGCTTTCACACGTTAGCAGCAAATTACGTTGTGTGCAGTAACTCCTGCATCCAAAGTCTTGTCATTTTTTTTTGCACACAGAGCAGCCAGACTGATCAATACAGGAAGCAGAAGTCATTCAACACACACAGCAGACCTGTGTCATCGTTGTTTCCGAAACTCCTTCCTCGTGTCTAACAGACAGAAACCACAACAGTTTAAAAGTTGAACTTTGAAGTTTGCTGCCTGTATTTACATTCAGTTATAAAGGAGTTGCAAGATGACACAGATGCTGACCAACATCAGCGTTACAAAACAATACTGTTACGGTCAGGTTTCTCTGTTGCCAAATGCTCTGAAACCACAATCTGTGAACCAGCTCATTCCCAAAAAGCAAAACGCACAACTTGAAGTTTTGGAAACGCTGAAGGAAACAGCGTTAGATAGAAGGGATGATGAAAACATCACTGCCTTTTCTCTTGGATCTGACTGAAGAGACTGAGTCATGACTATGCATGACTCGTCCAAAGTCTGGGAATAAATGCAAGCAGAAAACAAAACTTAGACACACATTTGAAAGGTTGGAAATAAATGTTTGCATCAGTGAGCTTTGCAGAAACAGCTGCAATGCTGATCAGATAAAATGTCATTCATCTAGTTCTGGAGAAATACATATAAAATGAAAAGACTGGCTCTCTTCACTTGAGTATTTTTTTTTTACACAAAGTTTTTTTCCCCTCACTTTAAAATAAAAATCATCCCGTTTCTCACTTGAGTGCATTTGGACCATTGATGTCACCTCAATGACGTACACTTTTAAGGACATCATCCACTTGAGGTGTCTGATGGTTTATCCAAACCCACAAAGACCCATTTTAATAAATGAGGCCTGGGCTTCAGTGTCTATATGTACAGGCCTGAGGGTGACTCAGGCATGAGTATGAAAAATTAACTCAGGAGAAGCAGCAGCAGCCATAAAGTGAATCTATAATTTATGTCAAACAAAATGCCAAATAAGAAACCTGCAAATGAAAACGTTACAATGCTGCTTTATCATGTGGTGTTTAATCAGCTGCAGTTGGAGAAGATTTAAAGCGCAATGAGTGCCAAATACATGACTGAGGATCAAGAAGGGAGAAGATTCTGTTCTTTTCCACGAGAGATGAAAATTATTTTTTACTGATTTCAAAAAAGTGAAAGTCATGGCTGCAAATATTGTAAACTGTATTGTACGCCCAAGTTCAGATTTTCCTGCACCATGACAGGTTTTCACCCTCATTTAAACATGTAAATCTCATTTTTAAGAGTGACCTGTTCAAATATCCAGATTGAGAGGTGACAGCGCTAACTTCTGCACAAAAAAGAAAATTGTCAGAGTATTTTCTTAACTACTCAGCCCACGAGTGGCATAAACCCTGAACAGGTTTTGGAGATTCTAATATCCACACATAAAACATTTTAGAGTCACCAGTTAACCTACTGTAACAAGCATGTGTTTGGTCTGTGGGAGAGAATCAAAGCACCCAGAGGAAACCAAATCTGGCACAGAGAGATCGTGCCAAACGCTGACCCAGCAACCACTCGGATACAAAAATAATTAATCTATGAACTGCTTATTAACTCGAATAGTAAAACTTGTCTTGTTGTAGTTTGTTGAATACAAACAGTCACCTTAAAATCTAAAGAAAAAAATATGTGCAAATCTGCACCTAATACTGCTCTGAAATATATATTTGCCCTTTATAGACATCAAAAAGGTCATTCATGGTCCCTGTAAGGACAGAAATGGACTTTAGTCTATATGCCAGTGTGCTGCAGCTCTGCGGGTGGTTTGTTAGAGTCAGTCTGCTGTACCCATTGATTCCCTGCTCTATTTAATCAATGCCAAACAAACTCCTGTTGCTTACCTTCCACTCGTTTTCTGCTCACGGCTTTGTGAAGTAAAATGAAAGTTAATTACGCACACTTTTACCCGAGGACTGAAAGCTGGTCTCACATGAGTTCAGTCTTAATACATTTAAATCACTGTTTGTCTGAGCGCTGAGGAAGCTTTTAATTACAAATTACTGTGAAATTAATCAATAAACCAATGCCCAGACCTGGATCAATGCCCAGAGCTCGACTGGTCTCTCCCAACGTGTCACAGCCTTGTTCCAAACAACAGTGAAGTCATTTTATTGTAGGTGATAAATACATTGTTAGACTTTATGAACTCACTGTGCGTCTAGTTAATGGATATTCCAACACAATGACGGGATAAAACACGTCAAACCGCCAACTGGGTAACTCGGTAATATTTTAAGACCATAAAATCAGTCATAAAAACATAAAAAGCATTTTGATTCAATTGATATTTGAAGAAAAATAAGCATTAATAATGATAATAGGCGAAGCACTGACCGTTAGGATGAAGGTGAAGATGAGAAGGCGCAGAGCGAGTCGGTGCGTAAAGGACATGGTGGCATCTCATCCAGCAGCGGAGGGTTAAACCCACCTGAACAGCAGCTCTGCGCTCATCTGACTGTCATCCTCTGCAGGAAGCACGTATGTTATGAGAAGTGACCAAACCTCAGTCTTCAGATCGAGAGCGAGGCGCTTTGCTGCACGCGCTTTTACGCACAGGTTCATTCAGCGCACACAAGCGGGGCTCACTTTGGTGCAGGAAACAATTACTTTTAAGTCTTCCAAAGAAGAGCAAGTTTGCGGTAAATGTTTATCCCGATGTGCAGAAAAATAAAGCCAATAAAGTCGCAGCTGGAAGGGTCCAAACTGGCAGGAATCCGCTGCAGGTTGGGACCGAAACCCGGTGTGTTTAGTCCTGTGATCCGAGTTCCAGTGAGGCGGTGGTCCGAGTTCACTCCCAGTTCATGTTCAAAGCAAAGCGCGTCCCCGTCACACGTCCCTCGCTTGTCTCTGAACCAACGCGAGCACAAGCAGCCACAATCTGAAGGCGCTTTCTAGTAGCAGAGTGTTGATATTGAAAGCGAACAGCGACCTCCTGTGGATGTGGAAACCACTGCCGACAGGTGTTGTGCCAAACTAGGTATCCCCAACAGAATTTGTTTCCCCTGCGTCGGGAGCACACGCTGGACTGTCCAAGTCACGGACAAACAGTATCCCACATTGCTGATTTTTAGTTTACAAACACTTCTTATAATGACTAACTACTCCTGACATTTTTGAGATGTTAGCTCTTTATACAACGAAGTTATAGTGGGATACAAATAATACCAGGCTGATCCTGCCACAATTTGTTCCCCCTGTGTAAATCACGGACAAACAGTATCCCACAGTTGCTGATTTTTCGTTCACAAACACTTCTTATTATGACGCATTACTCCTGAAACTTTGAAGGATTTAGCTCTTTATATAGTAAAGTTACAGGAGAATAAAATAGTTATCAGCCAAAATGTTAATGGTTTGTTAAAATAATCCCATCTGATACCCCGTGAGCAATAAATATATAATTTTCTGTTGTACCCCTCAAACTGAATGGTAATGTAACATACTAATTTTACAGATGTCTAAAAAAGCAGCTCCTTTAAATGGATCCACTAAGGACAAAATTTCGTTTTCGTTTAATGACTCAATCGAGCAAAAATGAGTTTAAACGAATCTTCTCGCGAGGAAAGACGAGACTAAAGACAAAGGCTTTTAACAGAATTTTAAAATTGAAATCTGACGTCTTTGCATCATGATTTTCAGAATAAGTTTGAAACATTTTAAAGGCGCTAAAAACCGATCATCTTACACAATAATAGAATGTGATGCTAGTTTGCCAGCTGGATGCTCGTTGACCCGAGGGCTCCGTCAGTCGCTTCATTTACAAACCTTTGCAATGTCTAAAAGCAAAAAATAAATACAGGCACTCTCTCTAAACGAGCAAAGACCACCGTTAACTTGTGCTCCATTGTGTCGCTCTGGAAAAAGTTTCTGAAGATCAGCTGCTCATAGGACAAATGCATGAGGCCTGTCGTCTTTCACATCAGGGATTACATGCTTTCAGTTTGCCTTTGAATTTTAGAAGATAAACATCTGTCTCACAACTGCGTTTACTTTTTTAATCCCATTAATCCTTCTTCATCCACACTGTCCCGTGAAAAGCATTCTTAATGCAACGCAGCACTTTATAATAACAATTGTTAATACATTCTAAATTGATAGTTAAATAAACTTTCCCAAATGTGATTAACTATTATTTACTTATTCTCTGATATTATTTATGTTATGCTATTATTGATATTACATATGTGTATTATTTACTAATATTATTTACTTTAACCCTGGAGAACCCATGGGGTCAGAGCCGACCCCATGGGTTCTCCAGGGTTAAAAAACTCAAAAGAAATGTCATTAGGTTGTGTAATGTTGAGGAAAATGCAGCCCTCTCAAAAACTTGCCAGCTGACACCAAAACAATATCAGAAGATAAACGGCTCTAAAGTCCAGTGGAACAAGTTGAGGGGGGTTGATTTACAACATGATCTGATTAGGATGCTGACACCTCCCTTACATCCCATAAGAAGCAGAACCTAAAGCAGACCAAGGACAAGCTGGAGAGATTATGTCTCTCAGGTGGGCTCATGGGTGTCCCATCAAGAGCTGGAGGAAGTGGCTGGAGAAAGTCTGAAACCTGTGTAAGCAGCAGAAAATGGGTGGATGGTCCAGGGGGAAAAAATATGTGAATCTGATTTTGGTGGTGAGCTGTGCCTTTGAATTCTCAGGCCTTTGGAGGTTAAACCTGCATCCACTAAATGTGTTTTCCTTTGGGAGTAATGAGCTTTTCCCCACTGACTGTTTGTGCAACTATTTACAGAGCAAAATAAACCAACTCAGCCTCGCATGGACTTTAATGTGCTGGAGGAACAGGGGAGGAAACCCCATCCATCAGCACCGTCGTCGACCCCACACATCATTTTGTCATTTCTGACTAAATCCTCAGAGAAGATTGTACTGATTACAATGTTGGATCAGATCGAGAGGACAGAAATTAGAAACAGGTTTATATTGAAGTTCTACTCTGTTTGTCCATAAGTTTTTCTTCTTTAAATACTGTTTACAGCTAATAATCTGAGT